GCCCCCCAGGGTCCCCTCCGCGGCTCGGGCGCAGCCAGCCAGCGCGGATCCGAGCGCACCCAGCATGGAACGGCAACTTCCGCTTCCGCAAGGAAGAGCCGCGATGGCGTCATTCCGGTCACGCCCCTTCTTAAAGAGACAGGCGTCTCCCCCGCCTGGGTCCGTCCCTGGGTTTGGGAGGGGAGTGGGGACTAGTGGTTAGAGGGGGCTGGGAGCCAGGACACCGGGGTTCCATCCATGACTCTGGGAGGGGAGTGATGACTAGTGGTTAAAGGGGGCTGGAGATGGGAGCCAGGACACCGGGGTTCCATCCATGACTCTGGGAGGGGAGTGGGTACTGGTCATTAGAGGGGGTGGGAGTCAGGACACCGGGGGTCCATCCCTGGCTCTGGGAGGGGAGTGAGGACTAGTGGTTAGAGGGGGCTGGAGCTGGGAGCCAGGACACTGGGGTTCTATTTGTAGCTATATCACTGAGTTGGTGCGTGACCCCTTGGACAAGCCATATATCCCTGCCTCCAAGAAAGGAACAGGTGCCTCCTTCTGCTCAGTGCCATTTCCCTCATGTTACAGATTGGGAAACTGCAGCACAGAGAGGTACAGGTCACAGTGCAAGTCAATGGTAAGAGCTGAGAGCAGAGTCCAGCTCTTGTGATCCTCAGATCTATGTTCTTATTGTTAACGCCATTTCGTCCCCACACAGCAGGAAATAACACTCAGGAGTCCAGACACCAAGTATCCTCCTCTGTGCACTACAGACGACATAAACTGCCCTCTATATATGATTTTCTACTTCTTCTTCTCCCTCCCTCAACTCTAGGAACTTCACAAATAAAGCACTGACTGATGCTGAATTTACAATGACCCTGGTCCTTTATGGCAATAACATTCATGAAGAAGAAACTCATGAAGTTTACTTATTTCAGGTGTCCCTCAGCTTTTAAAAAGTTCCTCAGAGGAGTTCTTTCATTGCCCCAGGGGTCCTACTCGTCCGTCAGGGTAGGCAATGCAGTGCCATCACCTTAGAGTTTACCTGCCTGAACTTCTGAACTCCTGCTTCAAACCAAGAACTCTGCCCAGCAAATCAACTGAAAGAGCGCCCTGGCCAGACACTTTACACTCTTGAGAGATCGATGCACCTATACAGACTGCGGGAGGAGGGTTGGGGTACTGGAGGTACCGGTATCCCAAAAAAACTGCTGCATCCAGGGAACGCATGTGCTCTTCCACTTTTTTTGTGTGGAAGAGCAAACGCACTCATTTGGAAGTCCCTGTATTCCTCATTCTATGAGGAAGTAGAGGGCTTTCAAAAGAGGGGTTTTTTTCCCAACATTTGGCCCAGTGTAGACGGGCAGCTCAAATGTCAGAAAAGCCTCTTCTGACAAAAGTATTGGAAAAAACTATGCAAAGGGCGGAGCACATTTTGCGTAGCTTTTTCCGACAATCAGATGTAGTCTAGCCATACCCGAATTATTTAAATAATTATCAGTGAACTAGAAGCCTTCTGGTAACATGCATGGATGTCACACACAAAAAAGAGCAGAGAGGTAAATAATGCTGAGGCCAGGGCAGTGACATCGAGGGTTCCCTTGGGAAGCTGGACCCATGCAAACAAAACAGGTTTCCCAGAGATAAATGCAACATCCTAGCCCTAGCCCCAAAGCATGTGTAATGCTGACAGACCTGGTGTTCTGTGCTCAGACCGGCCACACCCCCGGAATGGGGAACTGTACCCAGGCAAGCGGAGATTCCGAGAAGGATCCTGCCGGGCAAGCTGCTCAACAGAGCTCACAGGGCGATGCTGTGGTGAATACGGCTACAGCCATCATTAGACACATGAGCAGAGGAGTGAGCAGGGCCAGGAGGTGACACCGCATCCATGACACTGAGATTGGAGACTGCAGCCTACTTCAGGGGGCACATTTTAAAAAGCTGTTGAAAAATTAGAGATGGGGCAGCAAAGCGCCAAATGTTTTGAGGGCTGAAGAAAAACACCTCGCCGTGATTAGCTTCTGCAAGGAAAGGCTGAGAGGTGACATCATTCAAGTGTCTAAGGGCCTTTCTGGAGAGACCATGTAGGTTGTGTCTAGACTGCACCCCTTTTGCGGAAAAGGGATGCAGATTAGACACAGCGCAATTGCAAATGAAGCGGGGATTTAAATCTTCCCCGCTTCATTTGCATGAACATGGCTGCTGCTTTTTTCCGGCTCGGGGCTTTGCCGGCAAAAAGCGCCAGTCTAGACGGGGATCTTTC